CAATCAAGATAGAAAATGATTTTCCCAATTGATTTTAATTCTAAAGAAAGAAAAATCCTTCTTGACCTCAATTGATAGTATTTGGCAGAAAACACATTATTTTGTGAAATATTGCTACATTCTAGTCAACTTAAAACTCAGATCTCTAAAAATGGAATATTTTAATAATTCCATGTAATATACCAAAAGTACTAATCATAGATAGATACATAGATAGGCAGACCTTACATATAGAGAAGTATTAGTAAATAATTGAAAAGGAATTGATTATAATCAGATACTTAGACTATATTTTAGAAGAACAATGTGAATTTTATCTTGGCTGCCTCAATCATTTTTGGAACAAGGAGGAGTGTAATAAAAAAAATAAACTGGGAGCAAATGAGTCATCCTTCTCTGATCTGGACTTTTAATGCTTTGCTTATTTTAATTGTCCCATGTCCTTCTGTAGGTAATAACCCATACATTTCATGTAAATGTGGTGTTTCTGTATGGTATGGTAAGACAATCTTATACAGAAAAATTCAAACTGAACAGATAACAAATGGTGATCTTTTGAATCTTCAATTGAAAAGATTCTTCAATTTTGAAAACAAAAACTGATCACATATTTCTGTATGTTTTGGGGTTCCAGGGGTCTCTTAAATTGATCAATCGAAGCAATTTATTAAAATGTTAGAGTATTTCTACAATGTGGAAGAAGTCTTAAAATACTCCTGGGGCTGGGTGGAGTAGTGAGTAAGTTCTTGCACCCAGCTTCAGCTGCCTGGCATTTGCAGAATGGATCCCCGGGGCGGAGCTATGCATCCCTTAGCAAGCGATGCTGTGGCAGGCGTCCCACATAAAATAGAGGGAGATGGACACAGATATTAGCTCTGGGCCAACATTCCTCAGCAAAAAGAGAAGGATTGGCAACAAATGTTAACTCAGGTCTAAACTTCCTCACCAAAAAAAAAAAAAAAAAAATTCCTAGGAAGCATAGCCTAACACTTAGGAGCATAGATTTTATAGTCAGATCTGGATTCAAAGGAAGATTGCACCTTTTATTAACTTGGGTTAGAGTACTCACCTTCAGTTTTCTCATCTGTACAATGGGAATAATATCAACCACGTAAGGCTGTTAGAGGAATTAAACGATATAATGAATTTGTAAAAACTAGAGCAATCCCTGACACATAGCAGGTGCTCACAACATGGTAGTGGATATTAAAATTATTATCCTGGATCAAACCTTTGATTTGTCTATATATACCACTTTGCAATTATAATGAGAGCATGTTGGAAGGAGTAAAAAAAACGGAAGTTTTTCAGTTTATACCACATCCTTGTGGAATCTGGTATGGAAAAGAAATATTTAATATTTTATGTCCTATTTGTGCAGATTGCCTTCAGATGAGTATTTAATGGTTCTCCAGAAATGCCAGCTCAGAAGTGCGATCACAAAGAAGGCCATTGGATCACCTTACCCAAATTAGGGTTAATTATAGTCTCTTACACACAGTCGTCTTTAGATGTATTAAAATATATATTTATCTGGCAGGCACATTTTGAGTACATAATAATACCATTCCATAAAAGGAGCCTAAATCTCCATGTACATTTCTCTATTCATCTGCTCATTTGGAAAAGAAAAAACAATTCATATTTGGAAAGATATTGAAGCCAAATGCCCATTTTCCGTATCCTAAACCTTCTGATTTGGTGGTGGTGGGGCCTTCATTGTAAAGCCGTTTCTGGCTTTTTGTCTTTGTGAAAACCTAAAACAAAAATTGTTTTTTAGCTAAAACACTGCTAAAATTGAATTTCCAACTTCTACTGGAACGTTCAAGTTTTAAAGATTTTCCTTTAAGAAAAAGAGTGTGAATTCCATTTCTTCCATAGACAATGCTCACTAAAAGTGTGTTCAACTTAATTGAAAGATAAATGTTTCTCTACTACAGATCTTATAAAATCTCCCAGAAGGTGGTGTCTTTGTTCCCCTTGACCTGAACATTGTTCATATTACATTTCTGTCTGTCGACTCTTTCTGTTAGCTTTACTGTTGCTGACTTAGTGTGAGAGTTTTGGTCCTAATTTTAAACCATCACTTGGTATGAGATTCTTACAAAATCATCAGTTTTTCTTCGTCACATTTCATATCAAATGAGATACTGACAAACTATTATTTTAAAACATCATTTATGAACTTATCATCAAGAAAAGCAGAAAACATGGACCCCCAAATTCCTTTGTTATAGACATTATTACATAATGTAGATAATGTATGGCAAAGAGATGACACCAGACTGAAATCACTGGTGTGCTTTGTCACTTTTAGTAGGTAAAATAATTATGAATGCAAAATGGTGATGCTTGGCCCAAAATGTCAAGTAAGTATAATCAAAGAGATGTTTCCTTCCTCTGTATGAGGTCATGTGTCATACTCTCCCAAGGACAACTTTCTGTGAGATAGGAGGCAATGTTTTTCCACTCTAGAGGACAACAGCAATTGTTAGGTCTTTCTCTTCCAACCAATCCCTACTTCCCACACACACCCTTTCCACCTCTGAGCCATTTCATAGATCACTTAAGGAAAGACATCTATAGATGGTGAGTCTAACAAGTATAAAATCAAATCTATCTTTTGCCCCATAGATGAATAGCCATGAGAAAACTCTTCTGGGTGAAATGTTCCAATATCTTCCTTTCTGAGATCTATCTTAAAATTAATGGGATTTAAGTCTATATGATTTGTTAATTTCTGCATTATTTTATTAGGGAGACTGTATTTTCAGAATATTTTTTATTGCACTCACATAAGGAAATTTGACTGAACTAGAGATTGGGGTGGGGGTGGTACATTATTTAGAAGAATGAGGTAGACTTTGTAATCCCTGACTTTAAACCTAGTCCCAACATTTCAAATGAAAGTTTTAAAGAATTATCAATTATTTTCCAGTATTACAGATAGAGGAGAGAGATGTTAATCCAATGAATTCGGGGGTTTTCCAAGGTCACAGTATTATCTAGTTTAGACTTAGCCCTTAGGAAAAAAAAAATGCATTTGAATTTTGTTTAGCCTTTTTTTCATAGAGTGGTAAAACAATGATACATTCAGAATCATTACTACGAGAATTCAAGTGATTTAACTTCAGCACACTAATGCACTTTTGTTTTTTAACAACTAAAGAACGTAGATCAGAAGTGTGCTGAAATTACTCTTAATGCTTCACAAGAAGAGTGGCTTGTTTTATTCTTTTGCAAGACTATTTCATTACCATAATTTTCAAGCATACTGAGGTGCTATAGGAACTCTCCTAATTGCTTGAGCGTCACGGACCATTTTTTGGAGACGCACGATATCACGTCCATGATAGGTAAGGGAGAGCCAAATTAAGCGGCAACACCAAAATGTATCTACCAAACAAAAGGCTCTTCCTCAAATGGCCTCAAACGGAGAGAATCTTTCCTAATATTTTCCAGTAGGGGGAACTAAAGTCTCACCATCCAGCATTTAGCTCGGCTCGGGGACGAGCATGAGTTCCTATAACCCGCCTTCTAATCACCCGAACTAGCATCAAACAGCTACCAGCGAGCCTGTGATCACACGTGGGCCCGGCCACACCGGCGGCACCGCAGACTCTGGCATCCCTTTGATCTAACGTGGCCTTCCTTAATCATCCCCGTCCTGAACGGCATTCACTTGGTGGGTTTTGCCTTAATTTTCAGGGTTTTGTCATCTTGGGGCTGGAATCTGGCTCTTTTTGAGCTTCTATTAGCTCAGTTAGGTTTTTGGCTTTCCCTGAACCTGTGTTATCCGAATTTCCTTTCTGAGGAGCTAATCTCTGGAGGGCAAGGGCTTCGGGTATCTTCCCCCGCCAAGGTCTCTGATCCGCGCTCCCCATCCTAACTAAGCGTCTTCTGCTGAACTCCTTGCACCCCACAATCCAATCCCGCGTCAAACTCATCTTTGAGGGGTCATAAGGCAACTGAGTAGCAGAATACGGGATGCCACCCCTTCCCCTCCTCCTGTCCCCGGGATTCCTCAGGGGGCCATAGATCTTGGCTAAAACGAGCTGGTAGAGGCTACAGATTTCTGTACACCCCCCTCTTTTTTTCTTGTGCCTTTTTAACAACATAGGAAGCACCCCCCCACACACACACAACCCCCCTTTCCGCTCCAAAAGGTGGTTATATTTTGTTTCCTTTCCTTTTCTCCCTCCTGCTCAGCTTTTTATTTTGCTAAAAGGTGAAGAGTGAGTGTTTGTGTGATTTTAACGGGTAATGAGGCTGCGCCCCGGGTCCTGGAGGATGATCTTTTTCCAGAAAGAGCGTGCATCTCCGGCAGACGGAGGGATGAATAATTAGGAAAGGCTTCCATGAAATCACTCACCGAGAAAATTACCTGCCCATTAAACGGGACGCGGCGAGGAGCAGGAGGCTAGAGCCCACCTATCCCCTCCCGAGGCGGGAAGGAGGGGGGACGAGGAGGCGCAGAGAAGGGGAAGGAGTTGACTGGTGCCCTCGGCTCCGAATTTGTTAATTTCTGGCCCCCTAGGACTCTCTGCCGTCCAGCCGCCCCCGAACCCCACTGCCCAGTGGGCTGGCGCCCCCTGCACGGACGGGTGGCGAAGTGTGGAGGTGGAGGGCTCAGTGCACCCCCTCATTACCCCCGCCCCCCTCCCCGGGGCAGACTCCAAGCAGCTTTCATTCCTCCCCTCCCCTCCCGCCTCCTTGCCTTCCCTCCTCCAAGTCCTTCCACCCGCAGCAGCTGCAGGAGGAGGCGGACGCTCTGCTGCCGGGCCGCGGGAGCAGCGGCGGCTGGACCGAGGGGACTGGCGGCTGGACCCGGGCGGGGGCTGGACCGCGCCTGGCGCCTGGACTGCGCGCTGCCTTTCTCTCCCCCTCCCCGACTCCCGGGAGGAGGGGCTAGCCCAGTTGCGCCCTGGCCCCCTCCCCGACTCCCGGGAGGAGGGGCTAGCCCAGTTGCGCCCTGGCCCCCTCCCCGACTCCCGGGCTCCCTCGCCGCGCTCCGCTCCTGCCCGCAGCCGCCCGGGTTCACAGAGGCTCTGAGGCGGCCCTGCGGGGGTGGCCGCAGCCTCAGCCCTGCCCCTCCCTCCCTTCCTCCTTCCCTCCCTCCCTGCAGCCCCACCACCTACGAGTTCGGATTCTCCACCCGAGTCGTCTTGATTTCCCTTTGCTTCTCTTTTGGAAACCAGAGAGGTGGAGGGAGGCAACGAGGCTGCAAAGGAGAGGCCCTCCGAGTCGGTCCGCCTGCAAAGTGTTGCTTTGACACGTCCTTATTATGGAAGTTAAGTAAAAAAACTCTGGACGTGGAGCTGCTACCGAGAAAGAGACCGGCGGAAAGACAACCAGTAGGCAGGCCAATGGTTTTTCGGCAGCGCGCTGGCGAGTTTGTGGAACACTTTCTAGGAATTAGGTCTTCTTTCTCGACCCCTTCATCTTCCTGACTTCTGAAGAAAGAACTTGGCTTTGGATTGCAATGGAGCCTGAGGAGAGAGGGTTAGACACACTTGAATAATCCCTCCGGCTGGGCTGAATTTGTGGGAATTTAGGAAGCCAGAGTGTGGAAATACAGCAGTCTTTGGAGTGCCCTCTGATAATTTGGATGGATCTAAATGTGCCCCATTCAAGACCTGTCTAACCCCTTCTGATCTGCTCTTCTGATTTGCTCTTCTTGACTTTAATTAGCATCTAGGAAAGTCTAAACTTTGGACCTACCTCTTTTTTTGATACTTATTTTTGTACTTTTGCTCTCTGGGATTGGTTTCTTAAACAATCTGGATCCTTTTTAATATGTCAAAATGAGTCGGCTGATGTTTACACAACTACTGCTCTGTGGATTTTTATATGTTCGGGTTGAGGGTAAGTTAAAAATGCTTTTATACTTTTTTCCCCCAAGAAACATTTTTTTCCGAGTGGAATGTGGGCTATGAGTAAAATGACATTATGTCTGTTAGTCCCTTTTGGCCAGGCACGGGGGCATTTAGGGGGCAGAGGTTTTAAGTCTTTTGTTTCTAAACTGCTCCAAGTGGGACGTGTTGGTAGTCACCTATTGTTGTAATTTACTTAATTAATTGAGGAGTTGGATAATCAATGATGGGCTCTCAGTTTTGTTAGAAAAAGAAATACTGAAGTAAATCTCTTGAATGAGTCTGATACTCTTGTGCCTGCTTTCTGTTTGGTGTTTGTTCTTATATCTGAACTTTGGCTTGGAAATTCAAGTGAAGAGAAATAGTAATAGACACTCCAGTGAAGGTTCATTGGGTTTGGAATTTGAGACAGGGCATCTCTGGGATCAACGTGTGTCACCTGATAAGTGCTCTCATAGCATGAAATCAGAATGAAGAATTTAGATCATAGGAAGAAAACTGTCAAAAGTAAGACTGGGCGAGGCTCCGGGAAGGGGAAACAGCTTTGGGCTGGCTGCGGGGCTCGGCTCAGTCCCCTGTGGCAGACACAATGGGGATCTGAACAGGTGCTGTAGGTGTCTCCCTCTAGGTTGAGTTGGTCTGTCACGCAGACAGCATTCTGCCTCTGATTCTCCTGTCTTTTGTTCAGATTTGGTTTCCTGGGATATTTTCACAGCATGTCAGTTTCTTGTGGGAGGATTGCAAAATCCTCTTTTTGTAGCTCTTTTGAATGATGAGTGGAAGTAATCATTAACATGCAATTGTTGGTTCAGAAGAAGAAAGTCGAAAGAACATTTGGTATTAACCTTCTAGGGACTTGAATTTTTACGTCAATGGAAAGAATTGGTCTCAACAGAAGACTAGAGCATGTTTTTTTAATGAAAATATGGTTTGTATTATTTTAGATTTTTAATTACTGGACTTGTAAAGAATCTGAGGAGTATGGGTTCAGATATTTGAGCCATCATAGTAGCTTGTTGCTACATAAACTTTCCTCCAGCATTTGTGTTGTGGACCAATTCATATTTGGGACATTGCCTGTTTTTGCCCGCCTGTAGGAGCAAACTTTGTTCTGGCAGCTGCTGCTGCACAGAACCCAGCGTATCGGACTCAAAAAGGAAGGCTTTCTATAAACATGAGGCGATACGGATGAGTTTACCTACTGTCAAGTGGCTGTTTTCAATCATGGACTACATGAGTACCTTTGCCCTCCAGCAAAAGTAGGCAAGGCATTCATATGGCCACACTGCTTCTCTTTTTTTCCCCTTCTAAGTAGTAGATATTTTGGAATTAATTATTGGGAATTATGCTTCGGCAGTATCTATAATAATATCCAATTATTCACCATGCATTTTCTTCTTCAATACATTTACCTTATCAATACATTTACGTTACCAGAACAAAAAGGTTTACATATTTGTCCCAAGTGTGTCTGATTATCATAATAAGAAGACTTTGATATAACTTTTTGGATAATATATCCTCATAAACCATGAACTTACATATTTCAATACCAGAAATGCATGTATAAACTATATATTAGACTACAGAATTATTGCCAAGTTTTTTTTTTTTTTGAATCAGTGTGTAGCTAGGAGGAATACAATTAAATTGCTCAGTGGAAGTGACAGAGGGAATCAGGAGAGCTTGGTGTTACAGAATGTAATTAATGTACCAGGGTGTTTGGAAATATATGAAACAAATGCAATTAACCAGCTTGCTGGAACAGCAGTAGAGAGACATCATTTCTCTCCTTCCTTCCCTGCCTCCTATCTTGCTTCCCTCCTTTCTTTCTCTCTCTCCCTTCCTTCCTTCCTTCTCCCCCATCCTCACCCCTCCTGCCCCGGAGACACACCTAGGACCTTTGTTCTGTTGTAATATTATAGGATAAGGGGGAAGTTTGTGTCTAGACCACAATTATGCAGCAAAATTCCTAGTAATGTAGGAATGTAGTGAAAAATGCCCAGGGTTGAGGAATTGAAAAGGTAACATTAAATTTTTGTGTACGTAAAACTAGTTTTTGTTATAGCATCTGCTAGGTCAAAAGCAAAGGAAACTGTGGATACTTACTGAATTAGTATGTAAATCAGACGTTTGACATTGGATTGCCTTTGGTTTACCCCAGAATGATGACAGCCTCTCCATGGGGATTGTTGAAAATTTGGGATGTAGACAACACTGCCCTCTAGGCTATTTCAACACTGTGGGACTGACTGTTCACATATATAATGAGGCGTTTGGTTTGTAGGATCTCTAAGCTTTCTTACTCTTCCGGGCTTCTCTGATTTCTGTATACTTATTATCCTTCTTAGAAATGTGTGCTTATTCTCCCCATGAATTTCAAATTTAGAGATGCTTGTACCATTTCAAAGATATACTGACTATCCTTGTGCTAGACACAGAAATTAATTTTATTCAGTGACAAATGATACATAGATTTGCATTGAAATTTTCTTGGTGGGTTATTTATATGTGCATTTTTATAGCATATGAAAAATGTCAGAGTTTTGCCTCCTCATAGAAGATATGTGCTAATATTATTTACGATTTTTCAGTATCTTGTGTCTGTAGGAATCCATAGAGAATAAATATTAAGTTAGTGGAAAACTACAGACAAACTTTTCTATTTGGGATATAAATAAAGATTTTTTCATTTGATACAAGTTAATTAACCAAATGCAGATTTTTCTTTACTATTATATGGGAGAACATGTATTGAGAATAGCCTTTGTTCTCCAGATTTTCTTTATTTTTACATGAGAATAGGGTTTTCCAATCATTTACAGGGAACTAATATGAACCATCATAAGACCTTTTAATTACATCCGTATCCCACACATTGTGTCAATTCAGCAATTTTACAATACTTGTGAAAAGCTGTTTTTAAAATGAGAATAGTTTTCTTATCTTTAATCTGTATCTATTCTTAAATGAAAATGGCACATATGATATTTGGGGAGATAAAGATCGTATGTGTGCATAGTGCAGATGTATAATTTCACATAGGTTTATACACTTTGCTAAAGTGCTTTTTTCGGTAATGGGCTCATTATCGTGGCCATATGTAGTCCATTTCAGAACTTAAATTGCATATAAGTAACCTGAAATTTGTTCTTGCAACTATGCAGTAATATCACGTTTGAATTGGCTTTGTTTGAATAACCTTTGATTCGAGGCAACATGTGGACCATAAACCAAAAAGATTTCTTAGAACATCAAAAAAGAATACCTTAAAGGAAAAAAAAAAAGTCATGATTGTATAGAAAGAACAATTCTGCTCATCTCATCCCTGAGCAGCCTGTATAAAATAGTATCTTTGACAATAAAAACATGGCTATGTAAGCACACTGTATAAATTTGGACACATATATAGTAATGAAGGGAGCTTATGTGTGTGGGATGTGTGTGCCTAGTAATGTTTGCTTCAGTAGTTCCTGCAACCTATAGGAGATCAATTTGCTTACCATGTGCAGTTTGGTTTTTGAAGAGTATTAGAAAAAAAGATTTTCCCTTTATTCATTTCTCCTCCTACTTGTCTGCTTCTTCCTCTTTCTCCTTCATTTCTTCCTTCTTCTACTCATCCTTTTTTGGATTTGGAGGAAGGAATTAAAAAAAATTTGGGAGTGAAGAAAATAGGTGAGAGTGTTCCTTGAATAACAATTTGGAAAATCTGCATTTAAAGGAGCTGTGTTAATAATGTTTTACCTTTGGATATTTTTAACTGGGGTCTTGACTCTTATCATTTTTCTTTTACAATACTATTTAGCTTTATGCAAACTTATTTTGTATAGATCTTGTCTTTTTGCAGTTTAGGCAAATAGAAACCTATAGATCTGAGTTCAAGCAGACAGTGGAAACTTATAGAGTGCCATTTTATAGATTTAGTTTTTTTTAATTATTATTTTTTCATTTTATTTTATTTTTTATTTATTTATTTTTTTGTGAGGAAAATCAGCCCTGAGCTAACATCCGTGCTAATCCTCCTCTTTTTGCTGAGGAAGACTGGCTCTGAGCTAACATCTATTGCCAATCCTC